CATGTACTTAAATTATCTCATATTTATATGCTAGAGTACTTTTTTATTCTAGTGCTTGCATTCTTTCATATTTGAGATATTTGGTTAGAATTTGCAAGTGAAACCTATCAATTTTTCTCCTGAGTTGAGCGTTAGATTACCTGCAGGTAATTATTTAAATGCCAGCACATTTTGTTCAGTAAATTTTGTGATAGATGGTAGAAAATTTCAAACCGATTTGATAGTACTTCCATTGGTAGAGTTTGAAGTAATTTTGAAATAGATTGGTTGAACAAATATTTTGCCACTATAGAATGATGGAAGAAAAATGTTAGATTTGATTTGCCTAGGGAAGAGGTATTTTACTTTCAGTGTGAAAGGAGAGTAATTCCTTCATTGATTACTATTAGTCAAGTGCATAAAAGTCTAAAAGTGGGTGAATTGATTTTCTTAGCAAAGTTAAAAGCAACTAAACAGAATAGTGATGATATAAATTCCATTCCTATAGTGAATGAATTTGTAGATGTATTCTTTGAGAAATGGAAGGATTTATCTCCAAAGGAAAGTGGAATTTTCAATAAATATTCAACCAGGAACAAATCCCATTATTAAATCACCTTACAGAATGGCAACAAAGGAATTACAAGAGCTGAAAAGTCAATTGGTTGAACTGATTGAAAATTGTTTTATCAGATTCAATTAATCTCCTTCGAATGTACTAATTTATTTGTTAAAAAAAAAGATGGCTCTATGAGACTCGTCATAGATTACAGAGAATTAAATAAAGTGGCTATCAAAAATAAGTACATCTTCCGAGAAGTGATGATCTCTTTGATCAATTAGCAGATGTTGCGGTATTCTCCATGATTGATTTGAGATCAGGTTATCATCCGGTTAGGGTGAAAGAAAGTGATTTTGAGTATACTATTTTTGGCATCAGGTATGGACACTACGAATTTATGATTATGCCTTCTGGATTAAGTAATGCCCTAGCAGTGTTTATGGACATGATGAATAGAATTTTCAAGTCTTATTTAGATCAATTCGTTATCATTTTTATCGATGATATTTTGATATATTCCAAAAATAATGAAGAGCATGCAGATCATTTAAGAATTGTTCTGAAATTATTAGGGCAACATAAATTATATTGTAAATATTCTAAATATGAATTTTGGCTGAATAAAAATCCTTTATTGGAGCATATTATTAGTAGTGGGTATTTCCGTGGATCCAAAAAAGATAAAAGCAGTAGTTGATTGGCCAAGACTAATTAATGTGATAGAGGTCAGAAGATTCTTGGGATTGATAGGTTACCATATAAGGTTTGTTAAAGGCTTTTCTCATATTTCTTTACCTTTATCCAAATTGACCAAGGTAAAATTTGAATAGAATATGATTGTGAGCAGAACTTCCAAGAAATGAACAGTTTTTAACAACTGCGCCTGTGTTAACAATTCCTTCTGGAACAGAGGAATTTCAGTTATTCAGTGAAGCTTCCCTGAAGGGATTAAGTTGTGTTTTGAAGCAAAATAAAAAGGTGATTGTATATGCTTTCAAACAACTTAAACCTCATGAAAAGAATTATCTAACCCATGATCTAGAGTTGGCTTCAGTGATATTTACATCGAAAATTTTGAGAACTATATGTATAGGATAAGATGTGAGATCTTTACAGATCATAAGAGTTTGAAATATATTTTCACTCAGAATAAAGTAAATTTAAGGTAGAGAAGATGGCTAGAATTGATAAAAGATTATAATCTTGACATCTAGTACTATCCGGGCATAGCTAATATAGTTGCTGATGCATTGAGCAGAAAGACCCAAACACAGTTGAATTATATGTTGACTAGTAAAGAAGGATTGATTAGAGAAATGAAAAATTTACAATTGGAAGTGTTCAAGGAGATCAAAATCCAGTTAGCCTTAATCAAATGATAGTATATCCTTCATTGGAGAAAAAATCACAGAAGCTCGGAAGAATAAAATTGAATATCAGAAGTTTATGGAGCAAGTACAATCAGAATCAAGAAAAGATATGTGTTGATGAACAGGATATAATTAGGAGTAATATACATTTGTGGATACCAAAAGAGTCCGAATTGATTCAGGAAATTTTATATGAAACACATAACTTAGGTTATTTAATTCACCCTGAAAGCACAAAAATGTATAAGAATTTAAAGACCTTATTTTGGTGGCCAAGAATGAAAAGAGATGTGGCAGATTATGTGGCGAAGTGTGAAAAATGTCAAGTTGTTAAGGCTAAACATCAGAAACTTAGTGGCATGTTGCAATCACTACCAATTCCAGAATGAAAGTGGGAGGAAATAGCTATGGACTTTGTTACAGGATTTCTCAGGTCAAGGGAAGGATATGATAGTATATGGGTTGTAATAAACAAACTAACAAAGTCAGAACATTTCCTTCTTATTCGTCAAACTGATTCAGTGGAGAAACTAGTCAAATTGTTTGTGAAAGAACTCCTTTGAGTTAGTTTGAAGTTGGTAAATGCAATTGTTGGGTCCACAGTTAGTGGATCAGACTACTAAAAAAGTCATATTAATTAGAGACAGACTAAAAGCAGCTCAATACTGCAAATAGAAATATTATGATCCGAAACATAAAGTGGTAGAATTTGAAGTGTAAGATTTTGTATTCTTAAAGCAGAGACCAATGAAAGATGTGCTAGATTTGGCTAATGTGGATAACTCAGTCCTAGATATATTGGTCCTTTTGAAATAACAGAAATATTGGGACAAGTTGCTTGCAAATTGGCATTACCTACAAATATGTCTGATATACATAATATTTTATATGTAACAATGCTCAAAAAATGGGTTATAAATGAAAGTCAAAGGTTTTCTCAAAATGCTATTGAACTTCAAAAGGATTTAACCTATAGTGAAGAACCTGAAATGATATTGAAAAGAGATGTTTGTAGACTGAGAAGCAGAATTATTCCCTTTATAAAAGTAAAATAGAAGCACATATGAGTAAAACAGGCAATATGAGAAAAAGAGGCAAATTTAAAGGAGAAGTTTCCTCACATATTTGAAGAGATATAAAAGTTGAATTTCGGGAACGAAATTCTTTTAATGAGGAAAAATTTGTAATATCAAAAAATTTCAGGTGATTAAAATTTCCAAAAAAAAATTATTTTCTATTTAATATTTAAATTAGAATTAAATTTATTATTAACAGTAATGAATTTAAATTATAATTATTGTTTAATGTCTATTCCTATGTTATTAATAATAACAAATATTTTCAATTAAAATTCCCTAATTCCTGAAGAGTTGCATGCAAAGGACAATTAGATCAATTTCTGTTTTGGCAATGATGAATTCAATTACATGTGGGCCCCTTTTTCCTTACTATTTGAATGGACATGCAAACTGGATAAGATGGAACGTGTAATAGCGGTGGAACGGAATCAGTTGGAGTGGAGCGGAAAGGCCTTGGAGAGGAATTATGTTGCTTTTTGAGAGTTATTCCCATGAGAGAATTTTGAGGCGTGAAGCAAGATCGGCATAGTACAACAAAGATCGGTATCGTGGGGCTGGACGGGATCGGCACAGTGCAGGGATTAGTGGCAAAGGAAAATACAAGGAGAATTGTGCAGTGTGAGAGTGCCATTGCAATGAGAGAATAATAGTGAGCAATTGATTTTAGAAATCAGTAATCGTGTTAGAATAAGTAGTGAGAAAGAAAGAATTTAAAGTAAATTATTTTTCATTCAGTGTTGTGTTGTCTTCTAGATTTTCTAATATTAGTAAAAGTTTCTAAAAGAAAAGTAAATCAATTGTGTAGGAATTACCTGATTATATGTAAAAAGAAGGTTTTGAGGTTACTTATAATCGTAGAGTATGAAGTAGAAAATTGAAGGAGACACCTCAGCAAGGAAGTAAGTAATACATTTATATTCAAATATACTGACTTTCAATTATAGGCATGAAAGTTGATTTTGAATGTATTAAAGTCAAACGTTATTAAATTTGTTTTTTGTATAGAAAGGATTTTTAGTTCAAGTTTTCAAGTACGAACAACCAAATACGTAATTTAATCAGGTAAGTGTAAAATAAGGACTGCATCCTTCATGGACTTCTTCTATGAGAATGCTTTCTATTTGTAAAATGATATGAATTATTACATTTAAATTTGAAAATATTCTTTTACGTTGATAACAAAAAATGATTATAAAATGATATACTTAATCATTTTTTCTTCCAACAAGAACAACAACAAGCCTTTATCCCACTATGTGGGGTCGACTATATGAATCTTTTTTCTCCATTGTATCCAATTAAGAGTCAAATTCACATCTAAATCTAATAAAAAATGTCATTTCTAATATTCTCTAACCAAGTCTTTTTAGGTCTACCTCTACCTTTCTTAACATAAGGCAATCTAATACATCTAATTCCCTAACCGGGTCATCGGAAGGCCGCCATTTTAATTGGCCATTTCTTAACATAAGTCAAATTTTTTTTCTTTAAAAATTAAAATTCATAGCCACATGCACTTGTAGAACATGCATGTTTAGAACTTAAATATCCAAAAGCATTATAATTCGATTGCTTAAACTCATTTTATATTACCTTAAATAATTTAGACAACAATGTGATTTATTTATCACATCTCCGGTCAAACTTTCAATTCTAGGGCATTATTTAATCAAATTAATTTAAATTTAACCCCATTTCTTTCTTTTTGTTTTTTTTCCTTCTTTGTTTACTCAAAATTATTGCTTTGTGCGTCAAATTGTGCTTAGATTGAGGATTTTATGATCCAACAAAAAAACATAGTCTGGGTAAACTTTTGCTTTTCTTCTAACTCCATGTTAAATCGAAATACTAAACCTTTTAAGACATGCAGTCCAAAATCATTGCAATTCAGAAAAGAAAACAAATTTAACAAGTGTTTTCAAAGAAATAGCAAAACACAAGCATATCCAACAAACAAACATTACACTATCTCAAGAAAGAAAGAGTTTGCGGGTTCATAAAAGGTCATACCTTGCGCATAGAACTCATTAGAGCACAGAGATGATCTTGCAGCTCCGGCATCTTCCCGCCATAATCAACCATCACCACGGCTCTCAGTCGAGTGCACAGAGCAAGGACATCTGACAGCCTAATCTTTCATCAATTTACTATATAAATGTAAACAAACAAATTATGCTCCTCGCTTCGAATAAAACTCGGCGATCGAAAGAAGGTTTGAGGGGAGAGAGAGTAAAATAAGAGAATAAAGTTTTCATGCATTTTTTGGAAGACCTAGACCGGGAAGAAATCAAAAGAAGGTTGACTGGCATTTTAATGTATTTCCAAAAAAAAATCCATGTCGGTCAAATTCGTATACCAAAGGCTTCAGCCTCAACTTGCATTGGGATTATCTGCAAGCTCCGTAAAATTAAATCCAACCGAAAGGTAGTCGGAAAAAAATCCAAATAGCGGATCGAGATACTGAAGGAAAATGGAGATGAATAATCAAGATGCGTGAGGTGTAGAACCAGTTTCTAGGCGGCGCTTTGCAGAAGGCCTAAGCCGCCATTTGATGATCGAAATGCACGCATCGAGTAGACTGAGGATCTCCTCTGCGTCGCCTATGTCCATCCGGAAAAGCTCAAAAGCGGCGAAAGGTGCAATCCCAAGCCTTCCGGCCCCGATCCTTGTCGCCTTCTTGATAACCTGATTCATATATTAGAGCGGTTGTAAATGGATCAGGCACTCTCACAGTAGTTACTAAATGAATCTGGTTCGTCTGGTTCGTTCATTCTTCAGTGCTATTTCTGACCCGTTGGTAACTAACTGTCATTGTAATTATGAAGTGGGCAGGAGGCATTGGGTCCTATTTCCTGTTTCAGATTATCAAGCTATCAGATCGTCTCGCCATCTGTGTTACTTCTTCTTTAAAGTTTGTATTAGTAGGTTTCTGAGCTCAATCATGATTCATCAACCCCATGGCAGTTTTCATGACTAATAATTCATAGCCCTATGTAAGCTCTGGTTATGTATCAGCAATATTACCCTAAACATTTTCTCTACTCTTAAAGGTGTATCTCAATCTAACCCTCACTACACCACTTGGATTTTTCTTGATCAGAACCTTACAAGTGACCTAAACTATGTTATTTCTCTGTATCTTCTTCCCTATGTGTTGTCTTTAGAACACTATTATAAAATTTGGGATAGTATTGCTCGTCGACTCCAATCCTCAACTCACTCCAAAATCATTCAACTTAAGAATGAGTTGCATAATATTTAATTGAAGGACTTAGCTACGACTAAATATCTCTTACTAACTAAATCCAAAGTGGATGTCATTGTTGCTACCGGCTCTCCTATTTATCCAGAGGATATCATGTATGCATTGAATGGGTTACCCACCCAATATCAAACTTTCAAATTTTCTATTTGCACAAACCTATAAACCTTAAGTCTGGATTATTTATTTACACTTATGTGTAGTGAGGAACTTAATCTTGCTCAAGAGGTCACTCGTGAACTTTAGGCCCTTTAGCTTACTGATAAGACAATAGCTCTTGATGTTGTTCTGAGTTGTAGTTGAGGTCATGCTCGCGGACTCTTCTTGTTTTCTTATAAATGTCCATTGTCTTCCTCCAACAATCCTTATTCTCAAACTACATCTTGTGGAGATAGAACAGCAGCTGCTCATCTTATTTATTAAATTTGTGGAAAACATGGTCACACTGTTATTCGTTGCTTGACAGGCATGATCCAACCTGTAATACCTTTTCTTCTAAACCAGCTCTGTTAACACCTATTGCATCGTCTTTGGTACCGTTAACATCTACTACATCATATTTGGCACCAGATTGGTTCTTTGATAGTGGTGCTTCTACCCACCTCACTTATGATCAGCTACAACTTAGCTCTTCCAAGCCATACACTGGGTCAAATCATGTTTTTTTTTTCTAGGCAATGGTCAATAGCTTCCAATTCACAACACTGGCAATGGTTTACTTCCTATAAACACATGTAACTTGAAACTATCTCAACTCCACCATGTTCCTAACCTTTCATTTAATTTGTTATATGATCATCATCTTGCCATTGATCATCATTACCTTATTTCTTTTTCCTCTCATGGATATATCATCCAGGATATGATGACCAAGAAGGTTCTTCTTCAGATTCCATGCATTAGTCGACTTTGTCCTATTTGTGTTTCATTTGAAGTTGCTCGCTCAACTCCCCTGCTAGCCCTCCTCTCTGTTCGAACTATTCCTGATATGTGGCATCGATGTCTTGGACAATCGTCACACAACACATTATCTTATTTTGCTAAAAACAATAATGTTATTTGTAGTACATTAGATAACAAATTTTTTAATGCTTGTCAGATGGCTAAGAGCCACCACTTGCCTTTTAGTTCAACTTCTACTCATAGTACTTGTTGATACGAATGTCGTGCTCAATAACGAACTGAAATCATCACTTGGAGTGGAGCAGAGCTCAACGGCTACCAACAGCATTACCTGATACTCTGCCAAGTTGTCTCCACTTCTCCCTGCTAGCCGACTGCTTTTATAATTACTCAGGGCAATTCTGTAATTGACTTACTTAGTCATTTCTATTATAAAAACACATGTAATATGCTTTACATTTGAATACAATACAATGCGACTACTGTTCATCGTCTTCTCCCTGTCTTCCGATACATTTGGTGTTCGAATGCTTGGATTCAACATGGTATCAGAGCACTGCACCTAACGGCTCAACTTCGTCATGGGAGACTCCTCTGCTTCAGCTCCTGGCACTCCGCAAGCTCCCGTTCTCACCTTTGATACTTCGGCTACCCCCACAGAGGTCGCCATTCCCGATACCCTCAAGTTTCTTCTAGCAAACATTAAGAATGTTATTAATGTCCAACTTCTTCCCGAAAACTATCCTACCTGGCGCTCTGCCATCTATAAATTGTTTGCAGCAAACAATTTCTCAGGCTATCTGGATGGATCAATTCTCTCACCGACGAAACATCTTCTCACAGCTACCGGTCAGCTTACACTCAATCCGCAATACTCAACTTGGTCTTTAATAGATCAAAATCTTTATGTTGCCTTGTTTTCCACTATCTCAGCTCTGATTCTCCCTTATATCCTCAACTTAGAGACATCTGCCTCCATTTGGAAAACATTGGAAAATCGTTTCTATTCTACCAATCGCTCTTGAGTTATTCAACTCAAAAATGAGCTACAATCTCTCACAATGCAGAACAAAACCATGACTGACTACCTCTCATCCATTAAAGGCATTGTTAATAATATTCGAGCTGCTGGTGGTACCGTGGATAATGAAGATATTCTTCATTACAACTTAAACGGACTCCCACCCTCTTATTAGTCATTCAAGACCACCATTTGGAGCTCCCTTCATCCTATTTCATTAGACGATATGTATTCTCTTCTTCGCAGTGAAGAAGTTCACCAGACTACAGACACTATTCGTGAGATTTCATTTTCCAATACTACATCATCAGACAACCAACTTGCTCTGTTCTCCAACAGAGGCAGGTCCCGTGGACGGTCTTCTTTCACTCGCGGACGTGGTCGATTCTCTTCTTCCAACACTTCCCGCAATCTACCTCGAGCTCCTCGGTTTGAAGGAGACTGTCAGATTTATGGGAAGAGAAGGCATTTTACAGCCAATTGCTGGCACCGTGGCAACTTCAATTACAGTCCTCCATCTTCCTCTTCAAGCATCGCACTAATGGCAGACTTTGACTCTACTCCTTAGTACCTTGACAGTGGCGCTTCATTTCACTTGACACCGGATCCTCTACCTATTTAGCAACCAGTGCCCTACTCTGGCCGTGACCAGGTTTTTGTTGGCAATGGCAATTCTCTCCCTATTCATCATGTTGGCAATGGCCTGCTTCCAACGCCCACTCGTAAGCTTCACCTCAAACATCTTCTTCATGTTCCCAACTTAACACATCGCTTGATTTCCATTTCCAAACTTACACATGATAACAATTGTTCAATAACCTTTGATAAATTTGGCTTTCGTCTTAAGGATACGAAGACAAACAGACCTCTACTCCAAGGATGTTGCCATAACGGCCTTTATACCATCCCTTTTCAACCTTCCATTGTCGCTGTCTCCAGAACTGTTGCTTCACCACGATCAGCTCTTTCTTGGCATCGTCGGCTCAGCCATCCGAATGGACAAACCATGGCTGTTCGCTGGGGTCCTTCCCCTATTTTGTCTTATGATGGATATCGCTATTTTCTGTTAATTGTTGAGGATTACAGTAAATTCTCTTGGTTATTTCTGCTCAAACAAATATCTGATGTTTCCCAATCACTTATTCAGTTTATTACTAAAATTCAAAAAAACTTGAACTCGTCAGTTCGCACAATTCGTAGTGACGGTGGCGGTGAATTCCGCAATAAACTGATACAAAATTTCACCACTACTCACGGCATAACTCATCAATTTACATGTCCTCATACTCCACAACAAAATGGAGTCTCCGAGCGTAAAAATAGACATTTACTCGATACAGCTCGGGCTCTCCTACTCGACGCCAATTTGCCATCTCTTTTCTGGTCCAATGCTGTTCTCACCGTTGCACATCTAATAAACAGGCTACCGTCCTCTAACACCTTCTACCATTCTCCCTATCATCTTCTCCATCAAACTCCACCAGACTAATCTAACCTTCGTCCCTTCGGTTGTCGTTGTTATCCATGGACGAAACCTCTAGCTCCACATAAATTGGTTCCCCGATCCATTCCATGTATCTTCTTAGGCTACCCTGAAAATCAAAAAGGTTTCAAGTGTTTTGACCCAGACACTTTTAAATTATTCTCTTCCCGCCATGTCATCTTTGATGAAAACTCATTTCCCTCCATTTCTATTCCTCCACCTATTATCCCACCAACACCGTTTACTCTTCCATATTTTCCTCCAACTCAAAATCATCCCATGTCATCTACATTTGAATCACCACCTATGCCGGCTGCTCCTTCTACCTCTACTTCAACCAACACCTCCCTCCCACACCCAACTATAGTTTCTCCTCCCACCACCACTTCCTCCTCCACTACTACTCCACTCCCACCACCCTCCCGACATCCCATGATAACTCGATTTCAGACTGGAACTCTTAAACCCCCCACCATTCTTGATCTGGCTCATACTACCCTTCCAGTCCCTTCCTGCTTTAGCATTGCCAATAAAGATCCCAACTGGCGCAAAGCAATGTCAGATGAATTCCATGATCTTTAGGCTCAAGGTACCTGGTCCCTCGTTGCTCCACCAATTAACCATCAGATCATCGGCTGCAAATGGATTTACAAACTGAAATTTTTATCTGATGGCACCATTGCTCGCCATAAGGCACGTCTCGTCGCACAGGGCTTTAAACAACAATATGGTATAGACTATCTTGAGACATTCAGTCCGGTTATGAAGTTTACGACTGTTCGCCTTTTGCTTCTTGTTGATCTGCATCACGGCTGGGAAGTTCATCAACTTGATGTGATGAATGTCTTTCTTCACAGCAAATTAGATCAGCCTATCTATATGTCTCAGCCACAAGGCTTCGAGGATCCCAATTACCCCACTCATGTCTGCCTACTCCACAAGGCCATTTACGTCCTTAAACCGCTCCTCGTCTCTGGTTTTCCACACTCTCGGCATACCTCAAATAGCAACAATTTCTTACCAGTTCGGCTGATGCCTCCTTCTTCTACTACCACAATGACTCTGTTCACATATATATCCTAGTTTATGTCGATGACATTCTCATTATGGGTAGTGATTCAATATTTATTTTCCAGCTCATCTCCAAGCTGCAACAAAACTTTCAAACGAGGAACCTCGGCCTACTGTCCAAATTCCTTGGCATTGATTTTCATCGCTCGGTCACAGGCTATCATCTATCTCAAGGCTCCTATATTCAGGATCTTCTCCACACGGCCTCTATGTCAAATTGTAAACCTCTCCTCACGCCACTCCCGTCAAAGTATCCTACCGATCCTGAACTTCAACTTTCGTTTGCTCAACCCGAGCTTTTTCGGACTCTCGCGGGCTCGTTATAGTATCTCACCTCCACACGCCCTGATATCACATTGTTGTAAACAAATTGTGCCAACATATGCACAATCATCTTCAACTACATTTTCAGCTTCTCAAATGCATTTTGCGTTCTGTACAAGGCACTTCGGATCATGCTCTTGTTCTTCCTAAGACCGACTTAGCACTTTCTGCTTACTCGGACTCCGACTGGGCCGGTGATCAATTAGATCACAAATCAACAACTGGCTATTATCTGTTTCTCGGCTCCGCTCTGCTCTCCTGGTCTGTTAAAAAATAGTCCACAGTAGCATGATCATCTACGGAAGTTGAATACCGGTCTATGGCTGCTGCCGCCGCCGACATTATCTGGACAAGGCGTTTTTACGAAGATTTTCTCATACAACTTCCCCCAACTGAGCTTTTCTGTGATAATATATCTGCAATGTCAATTGCCTACAATCCAATCTTCCACGCCCGTACCAAACATATTGAGGTTGATCACCATTTCATCCGTGATTGCATTCAACTTCAGCATATTGTCGTTCGACACATCTCTACACTTGATCAACCTGTGGATATCTTCACCAAATCCCTCTCATCTTCTCGCCTTCTTGATAACCTGATTCATATATTGGAGCGGTTGTAATGGATCAGGCACTCTCACAGTGGTTACTAAATGAATCTGGTTCGTCTGGTTCGTTCATTCTTCAGTGCAATTTATGACCCGTTGGTAACCAACTGTCATTGTAATTATGAAGTGGGCAGGAGGCATTGGGTCCTGTTTCAGAATATAAAGCTATCAGATCGTCTCGTGATCTGTGTTACTTCTTCTTTAAAGTTTGTATTAGTAGGTTCCTGAGCTCAATCATGATTCATCAACCCCTTGCCAGTTTTCATGACTAATAACTCATAGCCCTATGTAAGCTCTGGTTATGTATAAGCAATATTACCCTAAACATTTTCTCTACTCTTAAAGGTGTATCTCAATCTAACCCTCACTACACCACTTGGATTTTTCTTGATCAGAACCTTACAAGTGACCTAAACTTTGTTATTTCTCTGTATCTTCTTCCCTATGTGTTGTCTTTAGAACACTATTATGAAATTTTGGATAGTATTGCTCATCGACTCCAATCCTCAACTCACTCCAAAATCATTCAACTTAAGAATGAGTTGCATAATATTTCAATGAAGGACTTAGCTATGACTCAATATCTCTTACTAATTAAATCCAAAGTGGATGTCATTGTTGCTACCGGCTCTCCTATTTATCCAGAGGATATCATGTATACATTGAATGGGTTACCCACCCAATATCAAACTTTCAAATTTTCTATTTGCACAAACCTATAAACCTTAAGTCTAGATTATTTATTTACATTTCTGTGTAGTGAGGAACTTAATCTTGCTCAAGAGGCCACTCGTGAACTTTAGGACCTTTAGCTTACTGATAAGATAATAGCTCTTGTTGTTGTTCTGAGTTGTAGTTGAGATCATGCTCGCGGACTCTTCTTGTTTTCTTATAAATGTCCATTGTCTTCCTCCAATAATCCTTATTCTCAAACTACATCTTGTGGAGATAGAACAACAGCTGCTCATCTTATTTATTAAATTTGTGGAAAACATGGTCACACTGTTATTCGTTGCTTGACATGACCCATTGAGCCTACTCTAGGTGGCCAATCCATAGGTCCACTTGAGCTAGGAATTAGCCCAAAGTGACCAAATCCACCTTGCAATGAACTAACTTTAACTCCTAGGCTTTATCAAGCCAAATTAACACTTGCATTGCATAACCTTAGGTTTGTGCACCCACTATGGGTGACCTTGCCCTTGGATTAACTTGGGTCAAGAGCTAGGTAACCTAAATTACCTAGATATCACTTTCTTGAGCCACATTATCTAATTGGTCTTCACTAGACCCAATTAACTCAGACATTGGGCTTAAGATCCTTCCAGCTACCTTTCCACATCAGCCCCCCTAGGTGATGGCCAGAGGTGGTCAAAAAAATTAAAACTAACCCCTTAGAGGTCCCCTCTTCATATGAGACAAACCTGGCCTCCCACAACCTGAGCCAGCCACCATTTGGCTTAGTGAATGTTCCCTGATGGTTCCCTCTAGCTAGTAGCCATCTAGGGAGCCTCCCTGAATAATCCCGAACATTGAAAGCCATTTAGGAGGTCTGAATAGGGAAAACCCACCAAATGCCTCCCATTACCTCCTTTCATTTAAAAAATATTCCCCAGAGCTCCACAAATCTCCCTTGAGCTTCCCAACTCCTCTGGTGCCCATCTCTAGTGAGTTTGAGTGAGCTCCAACGAAAGCTCTTTGCCTAAATGCCAAATCTGCCTCTAGTGCTCCTCCAACCATAATATCTTGAGGAGAAATGTTTCTGGCAATCATGTGAACTTGCTGAAAGCAAGTTTGAGGCATTTGGAGCACAATCCCGAGCTCCATAGCTAGGCAGTGTAGTCAAGTGTGAAGTGAGCCTTTAAAATAATTGGATTTTTAACTATTGGATTGAAGGTTCACATGTTGATGATGCTCTCTATAAAATTTTATACAATCCACTAGTTAGATATCTCAAATCACGTCAGAATACTCTCATTGTTGAGAAGCCCCGTGGTAGGTGGAAGATGTAATCAGAGCCATTGATATTGATCAACAGATTTGATTAGATCTTGTGATCTCAGAGCAAATTAAATTGTAGCTGCATTATCTCATATCAGATGACTATGGTTAATTTTACATTTTACCATTAGCTAACAATCATTAGCCAACCAATCACTCAACGTCGCGTGTTAAAGACTGATGTTGTAATTGGTTAATAAAAAAATAAAAAATTAACAAAACTTCAAAAAATTATAACTCCTCACACATTTGTCCAAATATGTTGTTCCTAAGCTTATTACAAAGGTATTGAGAATTTCTACAAAATCCCTAAGGTTTGAAATTAAAATTCCTAAAGTAATTAGGGTACTTTAAGAAATACCCCCTAGGGTATTTTGGGAATTACAAACCCTAATCAACTCACCATTACTTGAAATTTATGGGAATTAATATTTAGCATGTTTTTGTATGCACAAAATTAATTGCATCTATTTAAGGTCTCTAAGGGCTTTATTTGGCCAACTTGAGTTCATGGATTAGGAATTAACCCATGAAATGAAAGTGGTTGAACTCCTTTTCTAATGAGATTTAGGTTTTAATTTTCTATGGATTGAATGTGCTTGGTCAAAGGGTTATAAAACCTCTGATTATAGCCCAATCCCATATTTAGTTTGGCCTAAATAAATCCCTAAGTTCATTGTTGTATTTTCTTTAGGTGATTAATTTATCAACTTAGGAGGTCCACCATGAAGCCAATTTAAATGGGCTTGAAGCATAGGTCTTGGTGGACCTATGTTTTAAATTTCATTGCAATAGAATATTATTTGGTCCATCATTAAGTGATCTCAAAATTTATTTACATAATTATCCTATAATTTTATTTAATTCATAACTAATTCAAATTGAATCCAAAAACTTCTTTCTAAGGCTCGAATTCTTCATAACAAAACTCCAAAAAAGAGAAAAATAAAAGCCCCATCAATTCCTAAACAAATTTAGAGTAATTTAAAAATTAAATAAATAATTAAATAAATTTATTAATGAATCAAATAAAATAATTAAAAATAATTAAAATGTGAAAGTGGTTCAAAACACTTGACATATCACCAAGGGTCATTGCTGACATTTGAGAGAAATTTCAAGAAGTTTGGAATTGATTTGGAACAAAAAAAATGAAAAACCCTAATTACCCTAATTAAATATTTCATTAAAAAGCGATGAATTTTAAAAAATCATAACTAATTCAAGGAAAATCCAATTTACTAAGACTAAATTGTACTAAATTAGAAATAAAGTCTAATATTTATTAAAAATATAAAACTTCCAGAACTTATATTGTCAACTTAAAGTCAAGCCTAAGGGCAATAAAAAAAATATAGTAAGCTTAATCAAACTTTCAAAATTAAAAAGTAAATCAACTTAATGAACTTAAAATCAATAATGAATAAATAATAATCATAAACTAAAACAAATTAAATAATGAATAAGACTAACTAAATAATATGATAATTGTTAGGTAACTCTAGCCTACGAGGTTATTAATTTAGCCCCTAAGAGGATGAAATAAATCTCATGACCCTGATGTAAATAAAAGTAATTATCACTCAATGCAAATGCATAATTAATAAATTACTAATTAATTGAGTCAATTTAAAATCAACAAACTAAATTAAACCTAAATCAAGGGATAAATGCTAGGTAATTTAAGCCCACAAGGATATTAAGTTATCCCCAACGAGGGTAAAATAAATGATCATAGTGTAAAAAAGGCAATTATCATTTAACTTAAATAATCAGTGATAATTATTAATAAAATAAAACCTTATACCCTTTGCTTGATTCCCTTTGGAGAGTTAAGGTATATTGTCTTGGAAGGCTTAAGGACTAAAACACTTATTTAAAATTATGGACTTTAGAAAATTAATAATTAATCAAATTTAATATTTAAAACTTATTTTAAAATGAATATTAAAATGTTAAAATTTAAACTTAAATTAAATGTCCTTTAGCCTAAAACAAATCAAAATAAAGTGTTTGATAAATCAAACCAATATCAAGCTTATGAAATATCCAAACTACACAACCCTCTTTAACAAAATATAGATTGCTTGATAGGACAACCAACTTTAACTATAGGCTAGACTACTATTCTTTTATGAGTTTTATCTTGAATGTGGAATATATTTATGGTTTTGATGAATAAATGTTATATCCTTTATTGTTCTTTCTTTTAATATGCCATGAAAAGATTTTAATATGATCAATGATGGGTGTTTAGATTTTCCTAAGTTAGGAATGATCTGAATGTTAATAATTTTTTTTGCGAGTTTTCATGCTTATGCAGGGCTATAAAAGAGTGCTAATTGAAATATAAATTAATACAATTTTTTGCAATTGCTTTCGTAGCTTAGCACCTTAAAAATTAATAAACATGGCCAAGTTGATGTATTTATTCAAAATGAGCAAGTGATTAATATGTTTGGGCTTTCTATGAATGATTTTCTATATGAATTACTTTTATTAGCTAACATGCAAGGAATATAGAGTCTCTTTTAAATTTCTATATGTGATATGATTTAAGAGTTGTGAAAGTTTATAAAATAAAGCTTTTTCTCAATGATTTAGAATCCAAAGAGGAGAGAAACATCCATTAGGGGGAGAGTTCTTTGCATTTGGATATTCAAAACTAGATGAATTAAGGACACCAAAGAAAGAAGCTAAGGAAACTTGAAGATAAAAGGGTTATACTTTAAAATGAACTTGCATCATTTTGTCAGAGTAGATTCTATGTGTTTTTGGTGGGGCCTGGCCACCTTTACATTCTGCAAACCCTAATTTGTAATTAAGTGGCATTTATCACATGGCATGTAATTTTTATTATTTGGTTTGCTTTTGGTTTTACAAGTTTTATTTTTACATTACTTATGCATTAAAAATTGCCTTTTTATAGGTTTAATTCTTGTATACTCTGTTTTAGCCTAGATTTCATTAGGTTTTGATGAAAAAAATTATTCTACTTATAACTAAATAAAAGAGATTAAGCTCATATAGAAAGATAAATGTTCTTAAGAAGTAAGCCAAAGCATGATTGGGGTTCTCACACATTCATAT